ATTAAACTTCCGTAGTTCCGTCATTCGCAATAAAATTATAGTATGAATTAAATCAGATTATCTAGAACACTTTATCTAATATTCTCATAATCACCTACTAAAATAGAGTCCAATAAAATGGTTCATAGTTTTAATTGTACTTTTAACTAAGCCTTATTATTAATATTTTCTTTCATTGAAAATTTGAATATCTTAACGCCATCTATCAAACAAAATAAGTACCTAAATAGAACCAAAATTATATTAAAACAATATAATTATAACTATAATATATCTAGTATAACTTTAACTACATCAAAGGTATAAAATACTAAAATATTAACTTGTGTCATTACCAACAACTGTTAATGTAGTATTTAAGCGAGTATTTAAGCTATAATTATGTAAATTGAAGAAAAAAATATGTTTGGCTATTAATGAGAATCTTTAATCAATTTTAGTACAAATTAAGAGGTAATACTGGATTGATTGATTTGAGTAGGTACTAGGTTTAATGCAGCTTGAATAATAATGAACTATCTACCTAATTTTCATATTTCATGCTTACAACATTTTAAATATTTTAATAGGAACTATATATTTATACACAATTTAACTATTAAAGTACTTAGACAGATAATTACAAAAATACAAATTTTTTACCGCTAAATAGCATTATTCAATAGTTTTTTAAATACTTTAATTTAACTTTTTACTTCCCAAATTATATATTAAGAGGTATGAAATTATACAAATTTTTAAGATCGTCTAAATACATAAAATATTGATATAGAAACAAATCGAGTTTATGAAAAAAAAGATAGTATCYATCCTAAAGGCATATAAATATAAATATGATGAAATCACAATGATATCATATTTGTTTTAGTATCATTATTCCAACATTTATYCAAGACGAATAAAGCCTGATCAAGTTTAACAAAGTAATCTTGACATTTACTGATTAATTTAAATCATGTAAACTTTTTTGATAATTTATTTCTCAGTTGTTTTTGTAAGAGATTTTATTATATATATTTTTGGTTTGTACTTAAATAAATATTTAAAAAAAAAATGTGTTTCCCAAAACCTAAGTAAATTAACTTTATTAGGATCTAGTACATTTAATACCTACCTAATTAATGAATTAGGTATTTAACTTTCATAAACATTTATTTCATATACAAAATCATCACAAAATCAGTAAAATATCTAAATATTTTTCAACAAAATAATCAAACCTATATATATAATTGTGATACATCCAATAAACAGAAATCAAGATATATCAGTTAAAAATCACATCAATGTAATATTTAACACTATAGGTTACAATTGAAATGTATTTAAATTAATACAGATGATAGTACAATATAATACATAATGAAGTAATTACTTGAARTGTATTTACAAAATTAATTTAACAGAAAAAAATTATTTAAGTACCTACAAAATGTATTCATGTTGATAATTAATCAAATATGACTCACAAAATAAATTTACCAAGTTAACATTTAAAAAAAATATAGGCACCTACATTTGTTTCATTTTGTATAAAAAATCATTATAATAAGCATTAAATATCTTATAGGTAGAATATAAGTAGTTAAGTAGAAATTTCTAGATATTATCTAAAATTAATTTACCTACAGACATGAAACATGTTAGATTAATAAAGTTTCACTGAATTCTAATGACCATAGTTACCATCAATCATTTGATGGAAAAATTAATATCCATCATGATTATATTTTATAGCTACAATAAATTGTTCAATAATTAGCTTTTCAAAAACACTTCTTTAATAGTCAAATCAACTAATACTACTTAAGACTTGGGGGTGAAAAAAAAATCCATACAAGTGTATAAAAACAACATATGTATATTTAAGTAAATAGAGACAAGATGAATAATTATCATTAGTACTATAAGACAATAGGAAACTAATTGGCTTACCAAGTGAAGTACGGTGTTCACCACCTCCTTGTTGGTGACCTGGCCCACCTCGACGAGTCCGATAAGCACACCGAACTTCAAATTATCAGTGGCAGCCATGGTCACAACTTGATCAGGTCTCTTGATGTCGCCAAATGCGGTCGGATCTATCGGATCCTCCATCGGTAAAGCAATTTCTGAGCCTGGTATACACCGACAGCCCACCTACCACATCTACAACGCACACTACGCACTAATACGTCCGAAAATAGTCAATTTCCCGACTCCCGTTGGTAAATTCACATAATAATAACGTAACTAAAAACGACTTGTTCAATTCATCGGTGTTATAAATAATAATATTGAACATTAAAAAAAAATTGTATAATATATCAATTGAATATTGTTTACACCGAAGATAAGTATATTGACAAGTCGGCAGTCGATTGGACAGCAAATGCTTGTGATAACAATTACATTATATGATAACAAATCAACAGTGTTGCCCGGTTGCCGAATAGGTACTGTATTTTATTTTTTAATTAAAATTAAAATATAATACGACAAAATGATTATGACAATAATTGTGTGTGAACTTGTAAAGTGTCAAGAAGTGAGTCACCAAAACTTGAAAATATTTTCTATTAAAAATGCAAATTATAAATAAATAGATCAGTTAGTAATCTAGTGAAATAAATATTCAAGTTATTAGTTKTTCAGATTTATTTATCAATCTTAATTTTCTAATAATTAGTGACAACAGCTATTACACTAATGTAAATAAATAACATAAAAATTCTCAAACCCATTTTCCGTTAATTAAAACGAATTAATTCAAATTCTGATACCTACTTGAAATTTTTAAATAAACTCACCCAGTTGTTTACTTGAAATTTAATATAAGTACGTATCAACAATACCGTATACATATTCAAGCACTTACATCTTTATATCATCTAAAGAGTGTTTTGTGGTGACACAAACTTCTATTTTCAAATGAGACTCGGACAATAATTGTTAAGCTAATGATTTTTTTCTTTTTAATGTTGATATTATATTATACTAATATAAAACATACAGTGACAGTCTTAAACTCTTAATACAGTAAAACAATTCTACCAAAAATAATAATATTATACTCTATGAATTATGATGATAGATTTCATTATAAAGTTGATTTTAATATCATAGGTAACTATAATTATTTATTTTAAAATTAGACAGGTATTATATACTTCTAGATTAAGTATAAGAATGTATGACCTATAGGAATTAGKAACTTAATATACATATACTTGGCGTACAATATTATAATTATTATTATTGCTTCTTTACAAAATAAGGGTATAGGTATATTCTGTTTACATTTTGTGATCACCTCTGGATATATTATAAAATAATATTTTATTGTTCTAGATTTTTCAATATTACAATATTGATGAGATATACAATATATTATATAGTTATTTAAATGTTGATTATCATAATGCAACCACAAAAATCAACGTAGAATTAACCGTTATTAAAACGTATATTAATTTACGTAAATTTTAGGGTTAGAAACTATGATACACCAGGCATGTTTTTAATGAAAATGAGTTATAGGGCTGGGATTTTAATGCCCTAAAAACCCCCGAAAAATGTCCTAAAAAAAATGCTTTTATGACCTAAAAACTCTAAATAATGCCCTAAAAAA